TTGCTTGCATTATATACTGTAACCAAAATCCCCCCAAAGCGGAGGGTGGGTTCCCAGACTAGGTAATTGTACATAAATGTATGACAAATTTAAAGTACATAGTGTGATATTTAATGTTAATGTAAATAAAATTCTGAGAGTGCACTTGGCGTGTAGTAAGCTCTCAGTACAGGCCAGAGTCATTACTTGTTTTCATGCTTGGGATGAATATGCTCAGCTATTGGTGTTTCAGCTGATGAGCTCTAGTAACAGTGCTGTTGCAAGATAATGTACTTGCATGGTGGTTTCTGCTGATAACATTAGTGTACTGAAGTGTACTTAAAATAGTGGGACATCCTTCAGTGATGCAATTGCAAATGGTGCCTTACATAAGGGGACTGCCGTTACCCACAAAACATAATGCAGCGTATTTACTGTATACATTACTATGGCACAATGAGTTATTTTTAACCTTGTGCTAGTGTGGTAATAAATACACTCTACAAGGACCTATAAGTACATAACTTTGTATTTTAAAAGAACTCTGGGTTGTGACACAGCAACACATGCAGATGATCACAATTTAATGGCGTAGAGAAATTGGTATTTTGTCTCCCAAATGCCTCCACATTAGAACTCACACACTGGCATTGATACTTTCAGCAACTACTGCTACACCTGAGGTTGCAGAAGTTCTGGTTATTTCATGACACTGTTGTTGGTCCTTTTTTTGGGGTGGATTTTATTTCAACAGCAGCTAAACAGACAATATTCTTTTTCTCTGTTGTTTTTAGAAATAATCTATTGCCAAATGAATTGTTTCCATCTGAATCCAGTGTAAATTGTAGCTGATGCCAGTAACGTTTTAACCTTCTATTGTCTCCTTTTAGACTCCAGCAGCAGTGAGCAAGATCAGATTGTTGTTGCAGGACAGACCAGAATATGTAAGTAATGAATATGGCCAATAAAACATCATCCAATCAAGAAGACAAAGCTTCTTTATACATTGATTAAAATAGTTCCTTTAGTATTGCATCAAATAAAATAAAATTCTGTCATATTAATCTGGTCAGTTAGGTAGCGGACAGGGTTGTTAATCAGTTTCAGCTGCTTTGGTGTTAATGAAATTAACAACAGGTGCACTAGAGGAGCAACAATGAGAGTACTTCCAAATCAAGAATAGTTTTATAGGTGGAGTCCACTGACATTTTTTTCCCTCCCGTCTTTTCTGACAATTATTCACTACTTTTGCATTTGACTAGGGTCAGTGTTACTAGTGGGGAGGTGATGAGGATATACCTGGACCCTACAGAGGTTGCACAGGTAGTTAAACTCCTCCAGGATGGCACATTAATGTATGCCATTGCGGTATCTCCCAGCACAGTCTCAAGAGGATTGATAAGATTCTAGGAGAGCTGGACGGGGTCTTAAAAAGTTCTTAAGTCATCAGCAATGTGGGTATCTGCTCCTTTGTGCAAGGAGGAACAGATTGAGCATGGCCACAGCCCTACAAAATGAGGCCACTGATGTCAATGTCTCTGATCAAACCATCAGAAACAGACTTCATGAGGGTGGACCCAACATCGTCTGTTGGGCGCTGTGCACACTGATTGGCATTTGCAACAGAATAGGAATGCATACCCAATTGCACCCTGTGCTTTTCAGTATGTTCATTGAACATATGTACTGATGTAAAAGGGTTTGAGGAAACCATGGAGAGCATTATGCTGCTTTTTTAGCATGTCTGATTTGGCAGTCAGGTAGTGATTGTCTGGAGAGGCACATCTATCCTAGACTGTCCAGGAGCTCAGTGATGCCCTGTCCATATCTGGGATGAGATCCCTGGGAGCCTGGCGCGACGTTGTCAAGCATGCATACAAGCTTGCTGGGGCAATACAAACTACTGAGCAGCATTTTGAGTTGCTGCAATGAAATTTCAGCCAAATGGGCTACCCTGCCGCATAACTTTTACACTTTGATATTCAGGGTGTCTTTGAATTCAGTCTTCTATAGGTTGATAATTTTCATATCCATCATGTTGTGTGAAATTCTTTTCTTCCTAACACTGCACACAATCCATATCAGTATAGATACACCCCCATCCCTAAATGAGCTTTGTCTGTATGGATTAAACAGCAACATGTTCACCTTATTTTTTCATTTGCTAAAGTTTCTTTCTTTTTTTTATGAATCATTTGACTTGAAATTAAATTTAAAAATGTTATAAGGAATATCTGTGGGGAGTAGACTACTAATGTCAGCAAATTGGTTTTGAATTACAGCTCAAAATGTCAGTTATTTAATTAAAACAGGGACATTCAAGCATTCAGAGCGAGCTTTGCCTCTGTAGAAAGTGTCATTGCTGCCATTAAATTCACAGGAACAAAAGAAGCATTTTGAGATATGAGTAGTGTCAAGATGCTTTACTAATTAAACTGCAACCTGAGAAGTATAATAACGTTTAAAAATAAAACTATGAAGATTTATTTTTTTCTTGTATCATTCATTCTTCCTTTAGTGCATATATTACAAAAAAATCTAAAAAAAAAAAGTCTATGTTAACATATATTTGGTTCTCCATCAGATTGGTTTGAAGGTTGGCGTGAGAACACGTGGGTGTAATGGGCTGACTTACACACTGGACTACACCAAGGAGAAAGAAAAGTCTGATGAGGAAGTAGTACAGGATGGTAAGCTTTGTTTTATAATGAATCCAAGCTGAGAAAGGACTTTGTTGTAAGACTGATTGTTTTTGCCACACTAGGTTCTTGGGTACTGTAATTGATTGAAAAAGTTTAAGGTTTTTATGAGTTTCCAGGTTCAGCAAGTGCAATTTTTAAAATGTTCCAGGATTAAAAATAAGATATAAAAAAAACCTTTAAATTTAGATGATCTCACATTGAGCTCCCATTTATCTTCTTGGGCCCCTCTCGACTGCTTTCAGCATGGTTTCTGTTTGTAAGTCTCTCAATGAAAGTCCCATTTTGACCACTTGTACTGTGCACACTCCAATTTCACCACGTACAACTTCTGTTTCAAACCAATCCAAATTTGGTGTGAATAATCATCACACAGACTGGTGCATGGCAGCAACTCAGTCATTTACAAAGGATTTATTTTTTCTTCTAGCCACATTAACCTGGGTTAATGTGGTTAACATCAACTCCACAGCTTTCCTTCTTGAGATGCAGGGAAATCTACATTAGGTTAAGTTGAGCATTTTCAGAAGACCATTTCTGTAACATTATCACAGATTGTAGTATTTGTGTTTCACTGCCTGTAAACAATCCAACCCTAAACTTCTTAGATAGCGGCTGACCATAAGGCTGAAACCTGACAGTAGTGATGACATTGTTCTGACCTTTTTTCAGGTGTAAGAGTGTTTATAGCGAAGAAGGCCCAGCTGACCCTTCTGGGAACTGAGATGGACTTTGTGGAGTCAAAGCTGTCTAGTGAATTTGTCTTCAACAACCCTAACATCAAGGGCACATGTGGTTGTGGAGAAAGCTTCAACATATGAGCACTATGAAGCCTCAGCCCCCCTTCCCTGCTCCAGACCCTGTCTCACTGATAAAGACTGACAAGGAAGTCTGATGTAAGGGAATCTTTGAGATGTTACTACCACTGCTCTCCTGCAAACCACTCGCGCATATGTAGTCATGAAATCCATGTATGCATATTGATGCTTAGAAGATTTTAATGCAATTGATGTAGTCGGAACCATCTTGACAAAAACAACTTTTAGGTTCAGATACCTCTGATGTAGACTACTGTTTATACTCGGCTCTGCATCTTAAAACAAATCTCTTATGATCTCAAAAGAAATGACTTTTTAGGTTAAAGCTATGTTATTCACACTGTTTTCATAAATTCAGTCAGGTCCTGCCATGGCTTGTGTGAGGAGAAAATGATACATGTGCTGAGAACATGTTCACTAAAGTTGAGATCGGATGGGATTTACACTGTTAAACAAAAGGATGAAGCATGATGTTTCAACATTTGAATCCGTCCTCCAAAAATTGCAGAAAGCCAGCAATCAGCTGTTTGACAAACACGCCTTTAAGGTGTGCTATTATCCAGGGTCATGTACCAGTAGTATGCAGAAGTGGAAGAGCTTGAGTGTCTTGAAACTGTTTTATCAGTTTGTAAAAGCTTTTTGAAAAGTATATATTTATCTCTGTGTGTAAATAATTAAGATTGTAAATCCCTTGAACAACAACAACATACGCACAAAAAAAACCAACGCACAAAATATGCATCCCTCAAGTGAAACATGAGGTTTCTGTTTTTTCTTTATGCTTGATGAAAGCCAGGATGTTGTTTGTATAGATGCTCTTAAGATTTGTAACCTGTGCAATATGTCAGTGTATATATGAAAGAATAAATAGATCACACTGCAGCCTGTGCTTCATGTTCTGTTTGCACCTGTTACTGTCAGAATCATCACAGTTGTCATGGAGATGTGATTCTGTCTCACTGCTATGCCACAGAGTCCAGTTATTTGAGCCTGCTGCCCACCTGGCTTTGGCCTTTTTTTGCCTACATTTTGCAGCCAGGCTGGAGACAGAGAGGGAGGTACTGTCATTGTGAAAGATTCAACTCTATTTTAG